CCCATCCCTGGGAACATTCAAGACCAGGTTGGATGGGGCTGTGAGCAACCTGGTCTGGTTAGCGGTGTCCCTGCTCACTGCAGGGGGGTTGGACTAGATGACCACTAGTGGTCCCTTCCAACCCTAAACATTCTATGATTCTATGATTTGAAAGGAAAATTAAGTCGGCGGGGAGCGTAACGAGTCTGATATCATCGCTCCCGGAGGACGCAGGTTTACGTCACCGGTCTCACGTCCCGGTGAAACGCAGCACGAAGTTGACCCCATCCCTTTGTTTCGCCAGGTGGCCGTGGCCGAGGCAGAGGGTACCGAGGGCGAGGTGGCCGAGGGGGAATGCGAGGAGGCCGAGGCATGGGCCGAGGGAACCGAGGGCGAGGCAGAGGTGACCACCCCGAGGAAGAGGAGGAAATGTATGACGAAGAGATGGAAGTAAGCGCCGAGCCTCCAACCCCGGGGAGCCGCGGAGGCGAGAGAATTTTCGCCATGGCGTTTGGGAGGGAACGCTTCGTCCCCGCTCGCTAAAGGCGCCGACCTTTCTCGTTTGCAGTACTGCGATAACGAGGAGCCCATCATCGACGATGAGTACGATGACTACTCGAAAGAGCTGAACCAGTACCGCAGGAGTAAGGAGAATCGTGGACGGGGTGAGTAGGGTAACGAGCTCTGCTGGGACGGTCCCTGCTTCCCGCTCGTGCCTTTTATGGAAGGAGGGGAAGTTAGAAACACGGCGGCCTGTTTCAGGATTAAATCGAGGACGTGGTCGTGGCCCACGGGGAAGAGGAAATAAAGGAATGGGCAGAGGACGAGGCAGAGGTGGAAACAGAAGCGGAATGGGGAAAGGTGGTGGAATGAACGACGACGACGATTACTACGATGAGGACATGGGGGTAAGACGCTCTTTGATTTTCTCACGGCTTCCGCAGTGCTGGATGCTCCCTTTTTACCCCACCTCCCTCCGTAAATCCGGTCAGGCTTCGAAGAAAGCCTTCGCAGGAGCGGGAAAAACCAAACGGATCCTTCTCAGGATCCGCAAAAGTTGTCCCGTCTCTGAAAGGGATGGATGTTTTGGATCCCAAGCCGCGCTCAGGAGCCTGCTAGGCTCAGCGCGCTCGTCTTTCCTGCCCTTTTTCATCCCAAACCTCAGCCGTTTTCCGCTCCCAGAGGCGGCTGCGTCGGAAGTTTTTCATTCCTCCCGTGCAATCCGTTGTATTTCAAATTCTTTGTCCACTTAACGTAACGTGCTTCCGATAGGATGGAGGAGGCGGTGGAAATTACCGGCGGAACGACCACGACAAACCTCACCAGCAGTCGGATAAGAAAGGGAAAGTGATCTGCAAATACTTTGTGGAAGGCAGATGTACCTGGGTAAGGGAATAACTCAAGGATATTTCCGTGGTTCTCTTCTACCCGCGCGCGCGGAGCCCTCGCTGAAGCGTCAGGCCCGGGGTTTAACCCGTTTCGGGGAGGGATTCCCGCTGGACTTCAGCAAAGCCTTCGACACAGTCTCCCATAGCATTCTCCTGGAGAAGCTGGCGGCTCATGGCCTAGGTGGATGTTCTCTTCGCTGGGTTAAAAACTGGCTGGGTGGCCGAGCCCAGAGAGTGGTGGTGAATGGAACTAAATCCAGTTGGCGGCCGGTCACAAGCGGTGTCCCCCAGGGCTCAGTCCTAGGCCTGGTCTTGTTTAATATCTTTATCAATGACCTGGATGAGGGGATTGAGTGTGCCCTCAGCAAATTTGCAGACAACACCAAACTGGGTGG